GACTCCATATGTCACGTATTTCAATGGGGGACGTACTTCAAATACGTGTTTGCCATTTCAAAAAGAATAAATGAAATGATCACTATCCAAGGTAATAGAGCGCCGAAGGCGCGACCATAGCGAGTTTGCCCGAAGGGCAAAGTAACTCGCTAGTTAGATATATAGACGATCGTGACTGACGACTGACTGACGCTAAATCTAACCATGTTCTAGAGAAGTTGGAAATCTAAAACGTGGTACATATGTAACTTTTGGGATGCAGAGTTCAGAAAAAAATCCCAATTTGGATTTACATGCCCTGGGGGTATACATTTTGGGGGGAAACGTTTTCTTCAAATAAATTTTGTGACAGATGAGGGGGGCATTAAAAGAGTCAACAGGATGTGCAGGGTTCTGTTATTTAGTGGTAGCACACCGGACCAGCAATCAGGAGACACGGGTTCAATTCCCGGCCGTTCCTTTGCGTTCAATCGGCCTATTATGCCTTCCAAGTCGCGTTACTCATTCCCCTTCCATTAAAACGTTTTTGCTTTAGGAAAACGGAGAGACATGGAAAGCTGAAATTTGGCATGGACGTCCCTACCGAGGCGATGAGTTCAGGAAACATTAAGTATTTTATATCCATGCCCTGGGGAAATATTTTTTTTAGTCGACGTGTTCAAGTATTTTTTTTTGTCCTGGCGTATTGAGCTAGTGTGGAATGATGAAACTTGGTACATAACTACCTGCCACCATAGAGAGTTTGTTTGTCCGAAGGGCAAACAAACTCTCTACATAATAGGTAGTTATGTACAAACTCTGTACATAACTACCTCTTGGGATGCTGCAGAAAACTTCAGACTTTGGAAGTAAATGCCCTCGGGGCACAAATTTCAAAGGGATATGTTTCCAATTAATTTTCTTTCATCAGTCAAAATGATTAACACGGAAAGCTGAAACTTTGCATGAATATGACTGCTGAGATGTGGAGTTAAAGGAAAATGTTCAGTCTCGATGCATCCCCTGGGGAATTCTTTCGAGGGTTCGATGTTTAAAAGAAATTGTCATGGCGAATTGCACGGAAATGGAAAGGTGAAACTTGGCACACATACAAGTGACATGATATTATTATTGAGTTGAGGGAGTATTCAGTTTTCATTGTGCATCCCCTCCTGCCATAGCTTTTGAGTGCGTCGGCTTTTCCAAACATTGTTTTCACCAGAGAAAAGGACACACGTATGAAGTAGAAATTTTGTGGGCATGTAGTTCTCTGAGGATTGATTTCGGTAAAAAAAAGGGTACTAGCGGTTAGAACGCCTAAGGTCACAAATATTGCAAAACCCGTATTTTCTCGATCAAGCAAAACAGAGTGCGCAAGAAAGTTTAAACTTTGCGAAGAAGAACCTGATGGATAGCTGAAAGAAGAAAATATTATATTTTTTTAAATATAGATAATCGTGATTAGCTGACTAAGTAGCCATTCGGATGCTGAGCTCGGGAAGAATTTTCTTTGGTTTTACATGCCATAGAGGCGTACCTTTTCGCTGAACATATTTTCAAATAGTTTTCTTTTGCTTCATTGAAAGGCAGACACATGGAAAACTAGGGACGTGACTACTGACGCATTGAGCTCAAATGTCAAATTTAAAATTTCCCAAATATTTTTTTAGAGGGGGGGCATATTTCTTGGGGACGTAAGGTTTTCACAGAATTTTTCATATTCCATTGAATGGGGCAGAAATATAAAAGTAACAGCCAGCGCACGCACAACGGCCGTGATGTTGATTTATGGAAAAATTCAACTTTTGGCGCGCGTGTCTTCATAGCACATCTTTTGAGTGTGTCGCTTTTCCAATATTTTTTTCCAACAGCAAAAAGGGGAAACGTATAAGGCTGAAACTGGGTGGCATGGAATTCTCTGAGTCTACATTTCCACAAGAAAGGAACATTTCGTTAAAACCCATCAGGTCACTTTTTTTCAGTCCCATTTTCCTGATTTTTTTTATCCTTTGAAGGAAACACAGAAAATTTAAACTTCCCTCAGAACTACCTGTTTGATTGCTGAGTACAGGAAAAATCCTTCAATTGGGACATGACCCCTTAGCTTAGATTAAAGGAGGGAAGTAATTCCAAATGTATTCTCCACCCTTAAAAAAGGGATATATGAAAAGATTTCAAGTTAGGCGCACTAGAAGTCATAGAAGTAATGATTTCGATAAAAAAGGAATACTTTCGTCTCCATATGTCACGCATTTCAATAGGGACGTACTTAAAGTACGTGTTTACTATTTCGCAGAAAATAAATGAATTTATCGCTAACCAAGGTAATGGGGCGCCTAATGCGCGACTATAGCGAGATTGTTATACAAGTACTATACAGGTATATCTCAATTATGGTTTGGTTGCCTTTTCGCCAAGCTTACTCGGGAAAGAAACCTCTCAGAATCATGATTGTGTCCTTGGAGATAAGTTATATCTGCCGAGAAGTAAATAAAGTACGTCAAATCTATTTTATTGCTCTCGTTCCTATAAGGCAGGACTGTCAAGCTCAAATCGGTTGGCTTACCGCATTCCTTATCCTACAGATGCTGAGGACCGCATTCATACTCTTTTCGCCGAAATTTGTGCTGATAGTTAATCCAATCGGATATAACAAAAACAGACGGCAAGTCGGATGAACCTCATCCGCGGACCGTATGTTCCACACCCCTGGTATAATAAAGTTGCACCGCCACAAAGAGAAGCCACATAAATACTGCTCCTCCGAAAGTTGTAATCACGCAAGACTTGGAGAGAAATATCCCCAGCGAACATGTAAATTGCGCGAATTCGGATTTTCAACTTCGTAGGATGTACATTCAGGAAAATACACGTTCCTTCGCAAAGACAAAACGATGGAACTTCCATAAATTACTCATTCCCATTCCGAAAATTAAATTTCAAAGGCCACTGGAGAAACGGTGACTATAGGAAACGTTACTTCTGTCAGTTGCTCTCCTTCCTCCATGATGTACAATCATTCATGAGGTTACTGTATGTTTTTCAAATTTATTGGAAAAAATGGAAGGGCACAGGAAACGAAAAAGGGAAGCTGACCTGCCAGTTTTTCTGGTCCTCTCAAAGGAAGAAGTCTACGTGTTCATCTTATACAACTTCCTCTAAAAAAAAAAGTGCTTCCAAGTGCCTCCATGATCTGAAAACGATTTGTAGGATTAAAGATCTGTCTCTGAGGACAGTCCAGAGGTAGTATGAAAAATTTCAGAGTGGAAGTTTTGACAGCCACAATCAGCTGCCAGAAGGATGCCCAAAACTAGCAACCAATTATGAAAATGTTGCTGCTGTTGCTGCCCTCATCAAAAAAGATCCACAAATCACATACGAAGTCATCCAGAGGACCCTTGGGATAAGTGCTCCATTATGCAAAACAATCTTGAAGGGCCACCTTGGCCTCTCAAAAAAATGTGAGCGATGGGTTCCACACTCCTTGACAGAAGAGCAAAAGTGGCTTAGTGGATTTTGCAAAGTTTTTCCTCAAGAAATTCAAAAATGGACAAGCAAAAACCTTCCAGAAACTCATCACTGGTGATGAGACCTGGGTACCTTTCTATATGCCAGCAACAAAGTGCCAGGGTCAAGTCTGGAGCAAGAAAAGAGAACCGTCACCAGCAAAATTTCGTCGCGTCCAGTCCGCAAAGAAAACAATGTTTGCCATTTTCTTCTCTGCAAATGAGCTGATTGCTGCAGTTCCACTGGAAGAGAGCAAGACAGTCACCACTAAGTGGTACACTGAGGTTTGCTTGCCTGAAGTTGTTTGAAAATATGCCTAGATGTCGATCCTACGGGGACTGGAGGTGCTGGTACCTGCACTGTGACAATGCACGGGCCATCTCACCATCAGTTTTCTGGCAGACAAGGGAGTCAACCTGGTGGAGGTGCCACCTTATTCGCCAGATTTGGCCCCTTGTGATTTTTTGTTATTTCCAAAAATGAAAGAACCACTGCGTGGGAGCTGTTTCTCTGACCGCGATTTGCTGATTTCTGCGGTCAACAAAGTGCTTGCTGCATTCAAGGAGGATTATCGGGCCTGTTTCAATGCTTGGGTCAGCCAACTCAAGAAGTGTTTCGAAATTGGCAGTGAATACATGGAAAGGAATTAAAGACATGATGCTTTAAGTGGAAGAAAAAATATTGTCTTTGGTGAATTATTTCTCGAGAAAATTGAGAATGCGACTTTTATGATCTAGTACCCCTCGTATGGTAGCTCTGAATCAGGAGCTACCTCCTGAAATGATAAACACTGGAAATTTTTTGAGGCAATAGGCCCTGCACTGGTCAATCAGACATTGATGTTGTGTCAGTCACCATTGCTTAGACCTAGCCTAGATATAACTTAATGGTGAATCTTATTCCAACATATGTTCCCAATTTTTTTTTCACTCTTCTTCAAATTGATTATTTTAGGCTTCTCCATAAAAGCAAGTAGCATAGCAGTTATAAAACCTAGTATAAGTCTTGGCCTTTTAAAAAATGCAAATGTTTGCTTTGGAAGATTCAGTGTAATAACTGTACTTTTAAATGAGCCCTATCCAAACTACATTTATATAAAGAAATCATCAGTCAGTCTGGTTATTCTCTCTGCTGTTGATGTAACAGCTGCAGCCCAGCAATTATCAGCTGAACAACATTAACAGCATATCATAGGCCTAGACTTTGCTCTGATGTTGCTGAAAACATAGAATAGGTTTGTCTGGTAATGGGCCCATGTATAAAACTTTTGGTTATTGCATAATGAACAGATTTCCCACTCAAATTAGTTGTAAGTAAAGTGCTACTGCCACTTGTGCTAATTGAGTTTGTGTTTCTTAAAGGTTGGTGCCCCTCCTGCTTTCATGGATTTGTAATCAACTCTTCTCAGCCCGCATTCAAGTTGGCACAATCAAGATCTTATCCTTGGCCTTACATGATCTCCGCATCTCCAAGGATGGACTCATTGTTGTGAGAAATATTGGTTCAATTTAGATGCTGGTTAAATTTGACTGAATTGCATTGACATTATTTTTTCCCTTGCGTGTTTCTCTATGGAAATACTAAAGGAGGTGGAACGGCTGAAAGTGTCATCCAGCTTCCTAAAGCGGAATGTGACCCGTCCACTGACACTGACCTTGAGTGATGTTCGCGTGGAAATTGATCTGAATCATAGGAAGGCAATGAGAAGAGTTAAAACTTCTTCCAATGGTGTTTCAGGCCCTGTTGCTATTGATGTCCCACCCTGGGCCCTCAGTCTTGTTCAAGTTAGTCTTTTATACTTAATTTGAGATCAGAATTAATGTGAGGTTGTGTTATGAGAGCATGAGACTTGCTATTTTGCATTTTTAGTTTGTTGGGTTGGAGGTGGAACAGGGGAGCATCATGCTATTGAAGATGCCCCACCCCGAGGGGATGCTGATTGTGACTGGTACCTCCCTTGATGTCTACGGAACAGTCACGTCCCCCACAAATGGTACTGTCATCCTTACCCTCAAGACCTTTGCCTTTCGTCTCCTCCAGGTCTGTCTCCACATGGCCTCGTGAGAAATGGCAGTGATGTTTCTGTCACTTTAGAGTTTGATTCTGTGTGACAGGGTCATTCAGCACCGTGCCTCGGAGAAGTCTCATGCTCCATCCGCCTGGAGACCCAATTCACCACTGACACTGGTCTACAAGTTGTGGTGAGAATTTAGCATTTGCCTCATGCAAAGTATTTCATGTGAAATTGTAATGCCAAATGCGCTCCTCTGGTCTTATTTAACTTCCCTCAAAAGGACCTATGTACAATGTAAGACTGAATCAAAACTGCATGACAGGAAATAGCACTCATGGCAATGTTACATAGATGGCTTCAGGTACTGGACATGGTAGTACAAAGTAAATCAATTTACCAATAGACATAGAAGCAATTTACCACTTGGGTACTGAGTTTCTATGCATCCTATGCCTCCTGGCTGTGTATTTTTAGGGGTTTGTATGCTCAATGCTTAGTTTGGGCTTGAAACATGCAGTATCTCCAAGGGTAGTTATAATTTTCATTTTCCTTATTAGGGTGTGGTAATCCCTAAAGCAGGGATTGATGCAGATCATGCATCCCAGCTGCACTGGTACAGCCATAGTATCAAAATCTTTGTCCGATCTAGAAATGCAATAACTGCATTCAGCCCAGCTCAATGCTGGACAGCTCAGTCAAAAGTGTCAGCTGGAACCAGCTACATATACCACCCTAATACCATCTATAAACCAGCTGGTTTTAAGCTGGTCGTAGCTGTGTATTGGAATATGGTTCCAGCTGGTATGAAGATGGAATTGGCTAGTGATGCCAACTGGTATGCAAATGAATATGGAATTTAGCTGATACTTGTAGTTTATTGTCATTTTAAATATTAATGGAACATGGAATCCAGCTGGAAGGGAATCCAATCTTAGTTCAAGTAAGGGTCTAGTTTTCAAAGTTCTGAAGTTCCAGAGTAAAAAAAAAAGGCCTTTAATGTGAAAATGACATGAAATGTTACATTCTAAAGTGATTGAAAGAAATCACATATAAGGCTTGGAAAGTACAGTTTCCATGACACTTCAGATGTTGTGGAAGTCAATGTGCTTGCCTTCCTTAGTCTGCTTCAAAACACTTATTTTTCAGAGGTACAATGACCCAATCAATCCAGTCACCCTGCTTACATCCTTTCTGAGTTGCTCATGAGTCTAAGGGAACTCTACTGGAGTTGTCTTCGATATGTATCTAGCAAAATAATGAAAGGGAATCGAGGCTTCATTCATGATATGATCGACTCAAATGAATCTAATGAATACAGTACTTTCAGCATCTGATAAGGAGAGAGGAACCCTTTCCATCCAGAACCATGCTTTATGTCCCCTTTTGAGAAAAAGGATCATTTTGCATATTTCTCCCTTCTCATTCAGGTATCCTCCTATTCATGTGTACTCTCTTTGTGTCACTCTGACTCATGCAACAACTGACACATGGGGCAGGACATTATCTGATCCTTTTAAACCACCATCATTTTTTATATATTAGCGTGAGCAATTATGCTCGCTATGAGTCGCGGTAAGGAGGTATCACTGAGACACCCTTAGGAATGAAAAGGGGAGCATGCTTAAGTTTGCCCCAGGATGTTATGCCCCCAAGGGCATCAGGTTGTAGAGGACACCCCAGGCTGTGTGCAGCCTCCACTCCTGCAGGTTGTGAAATCCTTGGAAATGTGGAACCTCTTCATGTTGCACTTGCACCTATCCCACATGCTCCTACTCAGGCCTGATGCTTGATATGAAACATTCACAGAAGTCCCCAATTGAGCAATTGAAGGGCATCTGAACTGTATTGTAAAACTCCTGGGCATTTTTGTGCACTTTGCAGGAATGATTTTTTATGTCTTTTCAATTGACTTTAGATGAGAAAGAATTGATGAAAATACATTTTCATCAATTTCTCTTATTCAAAGTTATGGTATTGAAGTCTTATATATGCTACAGAGTGTAGAGCATAAGGGCAACAAATGAGAAGAGAATCCATCTGAAAGCATCTAATAACCACTCATAGACCAACAGAACCTTGTTTCCTGCCATTGCCATCCTATGAGGTTCCAGCCAGTTTGCACATGATGCTGACCCTAGCCTTCACTTTGTCACCTGTCCTTTTGAGGTAGGGTCTGCAGGTGAGGCTGCAGTCCAAGGGTAACACCTAGATATGTTAGCTTGGCCTTATTATTTACTTGATGGCCACAGTGGGAGACAGGGAGAGTCTCTTTAAGTGGCTTGATTGTCAAGGTGGAATGTGGTGACTGATGTTTTAGTTGAGTTTGGACAGAGTTTCCATCTTTCGAAGTACTTTGCTAAAGTGTCCATTTCAGTGGTGAAGGTGTCACTGATGGCAATGCGAGCGCAATGTCGTTGATGTAGACAATCTTTTTGGAGGTTGTTTGCAGTAGGTCGCTCATGTAGAGGTTAAAGAGCAGTGGAGCAAGGTTAGAACCTTGTGGCAGTCTGTTATTGAGTATACAGGGTCTGCTAACTTGTCCATTTAGGTGAACATATCTGATTGGAAAGAAAGTTCTCGGAATTTCTTGAATATCCAGTACAATTTTTTTTCCAGAGCATGCTAGAATGTTCTGCGTGTGTTTATAAGTAGGTCGTGTCCTTCGGCATACAACCGTATATTATTACAGCCCTGGTGCTCTCCAGCCATGAACCAGCCCTACCCTCTTACTAAGGAGCAAGTTCGCCTGCTT